ACACCTTCCGGGCGGACTCCTTTGAAGAGACGTAGAACATGAGGGAAAGGAACAGCGTTTTGGCAGCGGGGCTGGGTGGGCGTCCTGCTTCTGACAGATCTAGTGCTGAGGGCAGACGTGGTGCACGTCTCCAGGTTTTAACCACACACAAACCGGTCATGGAAATTTGAAAGATATTTATTTAAAAACAGAACAAAAAAGCTTTGGTATTTCAAAACCTGACAATCATCAATCACTAGAAAGTTAAACACCTCCCCTGAAGCCCCAAAGTACAAAACCACAGGTGTCCACAGGCTCATAAGAAAGGGCGTGCAAACCCGAGGATGACAGCGCAACCCGCACCCTCCTACAGGCAGCAGCACAGCCACCCTGGGGACCCCAGCCCAGCCTCGGGACCGTGGGGCCTCCAAAGGCTGAGATGGATATCACTGCCAGCACTCACCATCTACAGGGGATGCAAAAGCCATCTAGCAAAATCTCAACAAAAATAAATTAAAACTTCATCAAGAAAGAACACGATAAATTCGGAAAAGGACAGAACGTTCCCTAGACAAGAGTCTTTTCAAAAGACGGTCTATTTCCTGGGACAGAACAAAGGGGGAAAGTGGAAGGAGTGAGTTCCATTTCAAGTATTTGCCATACAGGTTCGTTTTATTGAGTGGAAAGCTTACAAAAGGTCCACTGGCCCCTTCCCTCCCCACGTGACACTCGTTCCTTCCAATGCAAACTCTGGTGTATCCACATTCGCTTCTGCGTCACTGGTTTCCCCCAACAAGGCACAAAGGGCGGGTGCTTCCAAAGGATCCCTGGCAGCAGGACTTTCAGTGCTGGGTGTCTTGTGCAAATGGTGGCTGAAAGCAGGACTGTTAGTTCACTCAGACACTGGGATCTTCCTGTTCAATTCACAAAACAAGTGTGATTATTGTTCACTGCCAACCCCAGTGGCCAGCTACAGAAATAGCCTACGGAGACAACCCTAGTGGCACCACACCCTGGCTCTGACCCAGCCTTGCAGAATGACCATGGACTCAGTGGCCTGGGGCCTTCTGGAGCTGAGTGTTCACTGGCTCCGCTCTGGCATGGCCCAGCTTGAGCCTGCGTCTGTTGAGAGATCGCTCAGTACCCCACGAAGGTAGTCTGGCTCATTTCCCCAACTGTGGGGGGAACCGAAGGTGCCCTCAAGAGTGAGGGCAGAGAAGCCACCGAGCAGCAGGGAAAAGCAGCCGCCTGCCAAACAGACAGCAAAACCCACACGATGCACATTTGGCGCCTGTCCTAGTGCAGCTAGTCCAGAGGCAGCTCACAAGGAAGGCCTCTGTGCGGTCCTTTTTGATCTGACTTTTGATCTGTTCTTCGAACTTGAGGAACTCAGCCCTGTCTCCCACTCTTCTGCTCTTTCAGGTCAAGTTCTGCTTCCTTTTCCAAGTCCTGGTCTTGGGCCAGAAACTAGAAGCCGCAGGCATCCCTGTGGATGTGAGGGGGCACTTCCCATTTCTCCAGGGTGGGATCTGGGCTCTTTGACTACTTGGGAACATAGATGCAGAGCCTAATATACCTCTCTACTATCACTACAGTTTAAAAAGAGAAGACAATGGAGCAAAGAAGAGAAGAGAGGGGAGGGGAGGAAAAGTAGAGGGGAGGAGACAGGGGGATGAGGGAGGAGAGAAGAGGAAGGGAAAAAGCTCAGCTCTTTGGGAAACATTTTCTTCTACAACTGCTAACAAAGGCCTCCCCCTAGAATCCCTGCTGGTCTTTCTCCGGAGAAAGCACCGAAGGCCGGGCGGCAGGGCACAGTAAGCAGCCTCACCCCGTGACAGCAATGCTGATCCCAAGATGCTGCCCCGATGACAGTCTTGCAGCAATGACGGCCAAAATCACCGCTTCCAGGGGCAAACATGTCTCAGGAAACTGGAGGGGAATGCTTCTGTCCTGTGTCCTATGCTAAGGAGATGGCCACTCTGGTCCAAGGCCTGGAACAAGGGGCTGACCTCTGCATGCCATGAACAGGCACATGGGGGGAAGCTGGGGATCCCGCCAGCAGTTCAGACAGAGGTTTCAAGTCAATCTAGGGGCCTGTTGCAGTTATTTTTATTTTATTATTACTATTATTATTTTATTTTTTTTGAGACAGAGTCTCACTCTGTCGCCCAGGTTGGAGTGCACTGGCATGATCTCGGGTCACTGCAACCTCTGCCTCCTGGGTTCAAGAAATTCTCCTGCCTCAGCCTCCCGAGTAGCTGGAATTACAGGCGTGCACCACCATGCCTGGCTAATTTTTGTTATTTTTAGTACAGACAGGGTTTCAACATGTTGGCCAGGCTTGAACTCCTGACCTCAGGTGATCCGCCTGCCTCAGCCTCCCCAAGTACTGGGATTATAGGCATGAGCCACTGCACCCAGCCTCGTTATTATTTTTACATGGGGTCTCACTCTGTCACCTGGGATGGAGTGCAATGGTGTAATCACAGCTCACTGCAGCCTCAAACTCCAGGGCTCAAGTGATCCTCCCACCTCAGCCTCCTGAGTAGCTGAGACTACAAGTGTGCACCACCACACCTGGCTAATGTTTAAATTTTTTGTAGAGACAAGTCCTCGTTTTCCTGCCCAGGCTGGTCTCAAACTCCTGGGCTCAAAGGATCCTCCCACCTTGGCCTCCCAAAGTGTTGAAATTACAGGCATGAGCCACCAGGCCCTGCCTCTTAATTTTTTTTTTTACTTTTATTTGCTTTTTTGTTTTGTTTTTTGCTTTTTTGAGACAGGGTCTTGCTTTGTTGCCCAAGCTAGAGTGCAGTGGCACAATCACAGTTCACTGCAGCCTCAAACTCCTGGGCTCAAGTGATCCTCCCATCTCAGCCTCCCAAGTAGCTGGGACTACAGGCACAAGCCACCACACCCGGCTTGCAGTTATTTTTAAATGCTGACATTTATGATGGGGGAGGAGGGGAGGGCTGCCCTGGGAAGCCAGAAGACCATCAATTCACACCTGGATTTCCACAGCTTTCCCTTCCTTGTCGTCTCCTCTCAAAACACTTGCACTCTCTCTCTGGTGTCAAAGGCTGAGGGCATCAGGACACCCATTCCTGCCCAGGCCTCACCCCCCCTCGCCAGGCCAGCCCCTTCCGAGACACAGGGCTGAGAGCAAGGCCGAGGTCTCGGGTTTCGACCAGACAGCGGCTTCCTACCTTACTCCTGAAGAGGGGCTTGGCTCCAGGCCCACAGTACTCATTGTAGATGAGCTTGAAGAGGAAGAGGTGGAAGAGGGTGATGAGGGAGGCCACGCTGAACCAGAAGAGGAAGGGCAGCCCGGGGTCCTGCTGGGCCATGTGCTCATCATGGGCCAGAATGGCCTTGAGGTGCAGCGTGTGCCGCAGGTCCTGCAGGTGTGTGAGGTCGGTGGAGATGTAGAGCAGCGGCGTGATGGGCTGTGTCACCATGACCGAGAAGGTGTGGCCCGTGGGCGCTGAGGTCAGCTCCACTGGCTCGTCCAGGCAGCCTGCCTCGCAGGCATAGATCTTGACAGGCTGGCCGCGGGACTCCACGGACACATGTAGGTAGGGCTTGCCCTCGGCGTCCGCCAGTACGGCCAGGTTGATATGGTCGTTCTTGTAGCGGATGCCATGCAATGCATAGCTGTTGTGCAGCACGTCGGGGTCGGCCTGGAACTGGAGGTGGTTCTCCGTGAACTGCAGCCCCCCAAAGCTGAGCACCATGCCCTGCAGGATGCCTGGGGCGCCCACCTTCACCAGCCCCTTGCAGCCACGCTTCTGGAGGGTCAGCCTCCACAGGTCGGAGAGCTGCAGGATCTGCTGGACAGAGGACAGCCGTCCCGGCCACAGGTTCTCGGCATGCATGGTGGCGTGGCCGCTGAAGCAGTGATCTTCATAGTTGAGCGTCGACTCCATCTGGTCTCGCTCCCTGTGGCTCAGGGAGGGGCTGAGCAGCGGGGCCGGTGAGCAGGAGAGCATGTAGTAGAGTGTCAGGTTCACGGTCAGGCCAGACGGCGTGTGGGTATCAGTGATCTTCTTCATTTCCACTCCTGCAACACCATGAAAGCTGCACGTTAAGGGGGAAGGACAGCTGGGAGGCAGAGCATATGAAATAAAGACCAAGGGCAGCAGAGGAGTGAGGTGTGCCTTAGTGATAAAGACAGCGGTGCCTGTCTCCCTAACGTATGGGAGAAAGTCACCTGTCTTGTTTACACGACCAACTTGAGCCTGTGGGCCTGAAATCTAGAATCCTGTTAAAAAGCAGTGGGGTCTGGTGCCAGAGCCCAGAGGAACACAGATTTAGCCAGGACTTGGTGCCAACCCTATGATCAGACCTCCTGCGCCAGATCAGTCACCAGTGCTGAGGCCAGTCTCAGGCCACTTCTCCTTCTGTCCTTTCTCTCTCCAGTCCTGTAGCTTTATGTATGTATTTAGTTATTTACTGAGACAGAGTCTTACTCTGTCGCCCAGGCTTGAGTGCAGTGGCACGATCTCAGCTTACTACAGCCTCCGCCTCCCAGGTTCAAGTGATTCTCGTGTCTCAGCCTCTGAGTAGCTGGGACTACAGGTGTAGGCCACCACCCATGCATAAAACAGCCCTGGCAGAAGCATTCAATAGATACTTGCTGAATAAACATGTGTTGGGCCCCTTTGCTACTGATGGATTCAACAGCCCTAAGATTTAAAAACATATACACACAACATTGTTTTGTAAAGATGACTATCCTCCTGCCCGGAGCAGTGGCTCACACCTGTAATCCCAGCACTTTGGGAGGCCAAGGTGGACGGATCGTGCGAGGTCAGGCTAAGTTCTGTATTTTTAGTAGAGACAAGGTTTCGCCACATTGGCCAGGTTGGTCTTGAACTCCTGACCTCAGGTGATCCACCTGCCTCAGCCTCCCAAAGTGCTGGGATTACAGGTGTGAGCCACCGCGCCCAGCCAGCACGTTCTAGCCTAAAAAACTGTCTTATTTTAATTTTCACTTTTCTAATGTCTGCCTTCCTCCCAACCAGAATTTAAGCAAGCACCATGAGAACAGGAACTCTGGTTCCCATCTGCACCCCCCATGCATAGAACAGCCCTGGCAGAAGCATTCAGTAGATACTTGCTGAATGAACTCAACTCTTTGAGCAACCAAACACAAGGGTTCAGACAATAGGAGCCCTGGAAACCAGAACTCCTCTCTCATCCAGAACAGGATTTTCTTTTCTTTAACAGTCAACAGAGAGGAGAGTTTTCATTGGGCGGGAGCATCTCAACCTGCTGAAAGAAGGCATTCTCCAACCTCCCTGTGAACCAGTTGCAGCCACAAATGCCAGGACGCACTTCAGCCCAGCAGGGGTTATGTCAAGAAGTCCCCATCTGTCACCAGGCCGACTGCAGAGCTGAGCAAAGAATCAGGGGATCCACCTGCTGGTTTCACCTCTGCAAACTGACTCTAAAACACTTCACTCTGCTCAAATCAGGCCCCACCTACCAGAACAAATAACAGAAAGACCTGACCTTTACACTCAAATTTCCACTACAGTCTCATAAAAACCTTCTGAGGTAGGCGTTATTGTTATTAAATACAGGCCCAGAGAGATTAGGCGACGAATCCCAAAGTCGCACAGACACTAGGCAGTTGAGCAGAGATTCAACCTCTGGTGAAACGCCAAGCCCAAGTTTTAACCACCCCATCATCACCTTCAGTGTTACCTCTGCAGATTTTGGAGGGACATAACTAGGGTGGACCAAGTGCTGACCAGGACTCACCTGGGCTGAAGAGCTGAGCCCAGAGGAGCTGGTGGTCTTGAAGAAGCTCCGCGGCTGGCATCTCCAAGAGCTCCAGCATTTCCTTCCGGGCCAAGTCCTGCAGTGCCTTGAGTTCCTTGGCTGCTTTGCTTTTGAGCACCTGGGAGTTAATGGGGCCAGAGACGTGCACCACCCACAGCACCGTCTCATCCAGCTGCGTCTTGGGAGCCACTTGGAGGCGGTCCACTAGCTTCTTGGCGGCCACCACCACCAGGTGCACCAACCCAGTGGGCGTAGGCGGGGACCGGCCTGAGTAGAGGAGGAATTGATGGTCTCCGACCTTCTCTAGGGTACTGGTGAAGGCCTTGGGGGCTGGGCCGGCAGTGGGCCCCACAGTCTGCAACGCGGCCACGCGCTCCGTGGGGTTGTTGAGCTGGATGCGCTGCAGGTAGACGTGGGGTCGGCCCCGGTGCACCAGAAAGTCCTCTTGCAGCAGCACGCAGTCGCGGCCAGACCCCGCGGCAAGGCCAGAGACGGAGGCGGGCCCGGGGCCGGCGGCCACGGGGCCAGGACCTGGGGACCCGAGCTGCAGGCAACGCACGCGGCGCAGCAGCCCCTCCCGCAACAGCAGCACCGCCTCTCCAGCTTCAGCCAGGGCGCTCAGCGGGCGCAGCTGCACAAAGGGCACGAAGTCCGGCGCCACGGCGGGCTCTCGCTCCCCGGGGGTCACCCACAACCGGTTGGCGGCCACGTCCAGAGCCAGGAAGCCGTTAGCCACCAGGGCTGGCACTCCAGGGCCCAGCGGTACCGCCTCGCCGCGCTCCCGCAGGCCGCGCCAGGCGCGGGTGGCCGCCTCCAGGCAGGCAGACGGCTCGGCGGCGCCCGGTTCACCGCGGGACCAGGGAAGCAGGTGCAGGCCGCCCGCCGCCCGCCGCGCGCCGGACCCCCCAAACCACAAAAGCAGCAGCAGGAGGCCGAGCAGGCAGAGGAGGCGGCGGGCCCAGCTGCTCGACAGCAGTCCCGGCAGCCCCTTGAGCCGCTGCTGCAGCCACATCGGGCCGCCAGGCGCGGGCAAGGGCGCGGGGGCGGCCGCTGGGCCCGCCGCCCAGCCCACCGGCCCGGCCGCCCGCGCCTCACTGCCGGGCCCGGACCGCGGCGCCCACCCCGGCCCCCGCTGCAACCGCCGCAGCAGCCGCCACCGCTGCTTCCTCCTTCTTCTCGGTGGCCTCCAGCCGTCAAACGCCGCCGGCCGTCAAGCGTCGCCGTGTCTTTTACGACAGATGGAAAACGGGAGGGCGGAGGGAGGAGAGAGAGGCGGGCCGGAGAGAAGGGGGCGGAGCCACGGCGGGGGCGGGACAGAAGCTGCCGGGGGCCGGACAGAAGCTGCCGGGGGCCGGACCACCGGTTCCCAGGCCCGATGAGTGAAGTCCAGTAGAGTTAAGTGCAGGGGTCTGGGGAGGACTGGAAGCATCCAATTCACTCGTGAAAAAAACATCGACCCTGCCAAACCAAACACGTGTTGGGCCCCTTTGCTACTGATGGATTCAACAGCTCCAAGATTTAAAAAAACACACACACAACTTTGTTGCTGTAAAAATGACTATTCTCTCGCGGGGCGCAGTGACTCACTACTGTAATCCCAGCACTTTGGGAGGCCAAGGCGGGCGGATCACGAGGTCAGGGGTTCGAGACCAGCCTGACCAACATGGTGAAACCCCGTCTCTACTAAAAATACAAAAACTAGCCGGGGGTGGTGGCGCATGCCTGTAATCCCTGCTCCTCAGGAGGCTGAGGTAGGAGAACTGCTTGTACCCGGAAGGCGGAGGTTGCAAGGTTGCAGTGAGCCGAGATCATGCCACTGCACTCCAGCCTGGGCGACTGAGTGAGACTCCGTCTCAAAAAAAAAAAAAAAAAAGGCCGGGCGCGGTGGCTCAAGCCTGTAATCCCAGCACTTTGGGAGGCCGAGGCGGGCGGATTACAAGGTCAGGAGATCGAGACCATCCTGGCGAACCCGGTGAAACCCCGTCTCTACTAAAAAATACAAAAAACTAGCCGGGCGAAGTGGCGGGCGCCTGTAGTCCCAGCTACCCGGGAGGCTGAGGCAGGAGAATGGCGTGAACCCGGGAGGCGGAGCTTGCAGTGAGCTGAGATCCGGCCACTGCACTCCAACCTGGGTGACAGAGCAAGACCCTGTCTCAAAAAAAACAAAAACAAAAACAAACAACAAACAAACAAAAAAGACTATCCTCGCCGCAAAAACACTTGGAACAATACGAAAAAGTGGGGGGAAAAAAGAGAGAGAGAGAAGAAAGAAGAGGAAGAAGAAGAAATGAAGAGGAGGAGGGGAAGGGGAGCCATCAGAGGCCAGGAGTGGTGGCTCACGTCTGTAATTCGAGCACTTTCAGACGCCGAGAGGTCAGGAGTTCGAAACCAGCCTGACCAACATGGTGAAAACCTGTCTCTACTAAAAATACAAAAATTAGGCTGGGCGCGGTGGCTCACGCCTGTAATCCCAGCACTTTGGGAGGCTGAGGCAGGAGGATCACGAGGTCAGGAGATCGAGACCATCCTGGCTAACACAATGAAATCCTGTCTCTACTAAAAATACAAAAAGTCAGCCTGTATCCAGGAGGGCAGGGGGGGAGTCCCTGTAACGTAAAAAAAAAAAAAAAATACGGGGCAGGAGCCTGTAGTCCCAGATACTGGGGAGGCTGAGGCAGGAGAATGGCCTGAACCCAGGAGGTGGAGCTTGCAGTGAGCCGAGATCGCGCCACCGCACTCCAGCCTGGGCGACAGAGCGAGACTCCATCTCTAAAAATAAAAATAAAAAAATAAAAATGCAAAAATTAGCTGGGTATGGTGGCAGGCACCTGTTATCCCAGCTACTTGAGAGACTGAGGCACGAGAATCGCCTGAACCAGGGAGGCAGAGGTTGCAGTGAACTGAGATCGTGCCACTGCACTCCAGCCTGGGCAACTAAGAGAGGCTCAGTCTCAAAAAAACACCAAAAAACAAACCCCAAAAAACCAAACAAACAACAAAAAAACCCTCACCACTAGAAACTAGACTTCCCAAAAAATATTTTGTTAACGGACCTGTCTAGCTGCATGTACACCATATGCGGACACAAATCCAGCCAAGGGCTGTCAATGTCTCCACCACACCAAATTGTCTTCTTGATGTCAGCCCTAAGTTTTAACTTATTAAATAACGTAAGACACTAAAGTCTCATACTTTGAAAATACCTTTAAATTGTGAATCATCGATGCAAAAGAGAAATTTTGCTTTGTATCCTGGGGAAAAAATTCAACATAAGCACAGAGGCAGACAATGGGTGATTGTTTCCACTTTGGTTTCAGTACATTCCAAAGCCAGACAGTGCTTCCCAGTTGTTGGAAATTAAACGGTCATTTGAGGTGGCCTCTGGTGGGTTGTGAGCAGACGCAGAAATGTTTGCTGAGGCCAGTGCCCTTTAGAAGGAGCTGTCCAGGTGATCCTACAGTCTGCCTACCATTTTTATTTTATTTATTTTTATTTTTTATTTTTTTGAGACAAGAGTCGCACTCTGTCCCCCCGGCTAGAGTGCAGTGGTGCGATCTCAGTTCACTGCAACCTCTGCCTCCTAGGTTCAAGCATTTCTCATGCCTCAGCCTCCCAAGTAGCTGGTATTACAGGCACGTGCCACTATGCCTGGCTAATTTTTGTATTTTTAGTAGAGATGGAGTTTCACAACGTTGGCCATGCTGGTCTTGAACTCTTTACTTGTGATCCGCCCACTGTGGCCTCCCAAAGTTCCGGGATTACAGGTGTGAGCCACCACGCCCAGCCCTATTTATTTATTTATTTATTTATTTAGAGAGAGGGTCTCACTCTGTTGCCCAGGCTGGAGTGCAGTGGCGCAATCACAGCTCACTGCAACCTCCATCTCCCAGGCTTACGTGATCCTCCCACCTCAGCCTCCCGAGTAGCTAGAACTATAGGCCCTCACCATTATGCCCAGCTAACTTTTTTTTTTTTTTTTTTTGGTATTTTTTGGAGAGGCAGGTTTTTGCCATGTTGCCCAGGCTGGTCTTGAGCTTCTGAACTCAAGCAATCCTCCCACCTTGGCCTCCCAGAGTGCTGGGATTACAGGTGTGGGCCACCACACTCAGCCTTCTTTATTTATTTTTTATCAGTTTTTATTTTAGGTTCAGGGGGTACATGTGCAGGTTTATTACAAGGGGATATTGTGTGATGCTGAGGTTTAGGCTTTTTTTTTTTTTTTTTTTGAGATGGAGTTTTGCTCTTGTTGCCCAGGCTAGAGTGAAATAGCACGATCTCGGTTCACCACAACCTCCGCCTCCCAGGTTCAAGTGATTCTCCTGCCTCAGCCTCCCGAGTAGCTGGGATTACAGGCATGCGCCACCACGCCTGGCTAATTTTTTTGTATTTTTAGTAGAGACGGGGTTTCTCCATATTGGTCAGGCTGGTCTCGAACTCCTGACCTCAGATGATCCACCTGCCTCAGGCTTCCAAAGTGCTGCGATTACAGGTGTGAGCCACCGTGCCCAGCCTTGAGGTACTGCACTCCAGCCTGGGTGACAGAGTGAGAGACTGTCTCAAAAAAAAAAAAAAAGACATTTTATTATTATTTATTTTTACTATTATTATTACTAGGGAGGCTAAGTGCTAGTGAGAGGTGATTGCCCATCTAGCAGCACAGAATATGGCCATCCTACTGAGGCCCTTGCTCTTCCTGGGGCCAAAAAAGGAAATGAGTAAAAGAAAAGGATGAAAATGAGAAAAGCCCCTCATGGCACCAGGCAGCTGCCCTCCAGGCCAGCTATCCTTTCTACACCTTCCCTAGAAAGCTGAGGCCTGCGCCTTTAATTGTCCACAGCACGTGCAGCACGTACCAGAAGTAACATCTGGACGGCAGCCACCACTGGTTAAAGAGACAGGTCCTCTTTCTCCATGAAGCTTGGGAAAGGTTCAAGTTTCAGCAATTTGGTGAAGGGAACAGGAAATAGATACCAAAGGAGGGGAGGGCAGGCTTTGCCAGAGTGAATCCTTTCGCCCAGAGAGGCCAGCAGCCTCCAAGATTGATTCCCCCTCCTGACTTAAAATGACTTTGGGCCGTGGGACTCCCACTGTCCAATGGTTTTTTCTTTTCCTTTTTTTTTGAGACAGAACTCAGGCAGAAGTACAGTGGTACAATCACGGCTCACTGCAGCCTCAACCTCTT